CTCTTGGTCCTTTCGAAGCAGATATTCGTACGCCATTGGGTTATTTGAGGATGGCACTGGTTGAGGCTTGACTGCTTTCCTTGGTTTCCCTTTGGTTAGAAGGGATAACTCTTAATTAAGGCCTTAGGCTAGCAAGGTGAATGGATTTAGGAAAAAAAAGATCCCACGTCCCATACGAAAGAAAGACCTGGTTTTAAAAGAATAAAGAAGGCTATGGGAAAAGATCCCAGACTAGGCTCGCTCCAGGCGGATTCAATTCTTCCTCCCCCAGACCCGGCATAAGAGAAGGACTTCTTTTGATCTTATACAAGTTTTTCTGTTCCGGCACATGCATAGAAGGAATGAGAAATTAAGGGATTGGGCTTTTTCCCACACCTCAGGGCGCCTTGGCCGACCGACAGGCTGAGGGCAATGGAAACGCAAACAAAATTAGCGGTGACATATGCCCAAACAAAAATGGAGGGAGAGAGATCTCTGGTCTGGTCTTGGGAATTGTCGCCGGAGGTGGAGTCGTAACACCGACGGACCTTGGGATAAGAACCCCTTATCCCCCCGGACGTACTAATTGAGGAACCGGGTAAGAAAACTCACGATTAGAATAAAAGGTAGTTCGTTTTCTGCAAGAGGTGTTGGTTCGAGTCCAACTCGTCAGAAGGAATCCAAGCAAGAGACTGGCGCGCATACATGGGGTGGTTAAACTGAGTTGAAAAAAGGTTCCAATTTCGACGATCTATGTGCTTTTAGTATGCCCTCTTTCAGATCTCATTCGTTATCTCTAATTACTATGATGCATCTGGGGGACATCACCGGACTTTCCATCAAAGGCGAGTATTATGAAGAGGTCGTGCCAAGCTTTGGGGGTCTCTGCCCACTGTGCTAACACTTTATACCTTCTTTCATCCCCGTGTCCAGCATTGATCCCGGAGCTGGAAAGAAGGATTGTTTTTCTGTCTAGTTTAGACGGTCTTGTCTATGATGGAGTATAGAAATGTGATATTTGTTATCTCAAGTTCAGATAGCATCAGTAACCACTTCGCCATTCTCTTAAATAGGGCAGGCTTCTAAATTCTAAAACAGATCTTTATTGAAATGCATTCATACGTGGGATCCACGTACTGCCGGATGGAACCGAAATCCCACATATCGAGTTAGGAATGGTCCTTCCAAAACCTAGTCCGGATATAGAATGACCCAACCCCGGGCTTGTCTTGGAGTTTCCAACAGCTTCACGTAGCCCGAATAGGCCACTCACTGATCTCCAGCTTCGCCTTAGGTTCCCGGCATCTGTTTACTACAAAAATCTAGTAAAGATTTGTAACTAAACTTGGGATTTGCCGTTTACAAAGAGCGAAAAAGGCTAAAAAAAGGCATTTGATGGGATGACTCTATCTATGGGCCCAAATGCCACTCAATTGAAAAGGTGAGTAGCCGAATTAGCATCGTAGAGAAAGAGGGATTAAAATAATAAATCTGATCGAGTAATTCAAAGAAAGAGAGAATAAGGTTTGAAAAAACCACATCATCGATCCAATAACGTAATGTCGCTTCCCGACTCCTTTATTCCGTCATGCCTGGCTAGGAGTGAGAGAAGTGGTGGCATTATTAAAGGCTACCTCTTCCCTTTAGAAAGATAAGCCAAGACTAAGTCAAAATATCTTTATAAAAAATAAAAACGTTGTTTTCAGGTCTTTACGAGTACTCTAAGAGCTTGATTCAAAGCGCTTGTTATTCGCTCTTCAAAGGGCAAGGAAGAAGTAATCTCCCTTACAGGAGGAAACTACCTTTCTATCCTTCTCCACCCTCCACCCATATTCGATGCAGGAGTCTTGTCTCGTCAGGATAAACCAGGGTAACCCACGTTCACGTGGTCTCATGAGTAGAAAAAAAAATAAAAGGGCTTGAAAGCGGAGTGGTTATAGGTATTCGATGGCGGTTTATTCCTTCTCCTTGCTAGCCAGTGACATTCCTTCTACAACAAGCGATCCAGTTCCAGTCTATTCATTTCCAGTTGGGGGTCCACCAGTTGGAGTAGCTTCTCTCTTCTCGTGGTAAGCCCTTTCCTTTTCATGTGTAGCCTAGTCTCTGTGCGTGGATATCTTATACTATGAAAAGAGCGCATTCTAGGCATGAATCCTCTTCAACTTCAAGGGGAAATCCCCCGGTAAGGTATTGAGAAGGGATCGCCTTCTCTTACTGAACCACGGAATAGCGCGGGAAGTGCAGCTTTGCTCTTCCAGTTCGTAAAGGATCTTAGCCTACACCGGTTACCGACCTCCTTCCTCGTTCGTAGGCCTTTTGGGCTTTGGGGTCTATGTATGGATGTCTCTTTATTTTTTACAAGAAGAGCGGAAAGAAGACCACTTATCTTTTAGATAAAAGTTAATTGATTAATTAAATAAGGGCTTCACCCTATCTAACTAAAGGTAATTCCATTTCACCATTATAGGCAGAAAGGTAGTCCCTCATGTCAATTCGGAGAGATAAGAGATTGGAGATTCCGTAAGTCACTCAGTGAGTGCTCTCTAAATGTGCATCTTTCTTTCTCCGAGTCGTGTAGGGCCTGTTCAAGTTCCGCAGGCGGTTGGACCTTGGACGCAAGCAATAAACTTCTTGAATATCTCCGGATGGGCGGGAGAGGATTGCTAGGCAGCCTCCTCAGCCCATAAAAGATGATCTTATGTAGCAGCTCAATAGGACCCCCAGCTTCCATTTCCATCTTATAATTTCTGCTTCCCCATCCGCCTCCCCGCCCTTACTAGTAAAGGCTCCCATTGGGAGAAGCAGAAATTGATGAGTGAGCGATCCGGCTTCTAGCCCTTCAATGATGGATTTGTCTGAAAACCCCTCCCTCAGGGTCGAAAAGTTTGATGACCGGCGGCGCGAGGTTGATGAGCAGGGATGAAAGAAAGTTTCTTCGGTGCTGCTCCAGGACGAACAGTAGAGGCACATGGAAGTATTGGCTTATCGATCGGATGGAGGTTTCTTTTTCCTCTTCCGAATCGGAGGAAGATGAATCAATCAATAAGATGTGAACATGAAGAAAGAAGAGAGAGGAAATGCTTTGCCAGCGAACCAGTAGCAATCCGAGATGGAATTCCTTATATAAAGATATCTTCCCCTCGCTCTTTCATTCCGATTCCGGGCCGGGAAGAAAGCCAATGTCTTTCTTTCTGAGTTCGAATTCTATGTCTTAAGCATAGTGCACGAAAGAAGAGTATGGCATCTCTGCTTTATGCTTTCTAGTTAAAGTGGGTGGTAAGCCAGTCAGCAAGCCTATTCATTCCATGCAAGCAAGCTAGCCAAGGGGCAAAAGAGTAGTAGGCTTTCAAAGAATCTCCTTCCCTGCTGTCTGTCCTTTCCTTTTTTGTAGGAAGGGAATCTTTTTCACAGCGCCTACCTATCGACCGAGACTGGAATGAGAACAAGGGACAACAAAAAGACCAATTCCTTCAAGAAGGGCAGGAGGGAAGAGGTGGTTCAAGACCCCTGTGAGCAGTCTCTTTGATCAAATAAGGGATCCGACCGCTCCTGGTGTTCGAACTAGTCATTAATGGTCGGCTTCATTGGTATCCTTTCGGTATGCGTTGCGAACACTTTCATTTTTAGCGTCTCATCTTCTCTAGAGAAGCGAAACTCGAACGGATAGAGCAGATGGTCCAACTACATAACTTTATATTTTTCATTACTTCTATGGTCGTGCCTCGTGGCACGGCAGCACCCTTCCTATTGAAATGGTTCGTCAGTAGAGATGTTCCCACAGGTGCCCCTTTTTCCAATGGTCTTATAATTCCTATTCTTATCCCTTCATTCCCTCTTTTGGTCTATCTACATTCCAGGAAATTCATACGCTCCATGGACGGAGCAAAAAGTGGAGTCTTGGTCAGAGCAAGCCGCCCTATTCTATTACCAGACATAATTGGGAGAAGCTCATCCGAAACTAGAGCTGGAAACGCCTCATTTCGTTTCGTTCCCGTTCTTCATTTCCTTCTTCTCGAATCCAAGGGGGACTTATCATATTTAGAATCTTTCTGCGGTGTGCTCTGTTTACTATTCTTTCGTACTCTCTTCTCTTTACCACGCGATAGGTCAGCAAAGCGTGAGCGGGCGCGGAGAAGGAAAGGCCAAACACTTCGGCCTAACCCTAACGGGAATGAGCAACAACGAAATGACAAGATGAGGTGCTCCGGGCACCCCCATTTAGAAAGAAGGGTCGAAGGTTTTGGGCCTGTAGCTTTCCCCGTCCCCCCTTCGTCGGGTGGTGCTTGTGTGGGGGGTGTGCCACCTGAACCTGAAATCGGGCTTGAAGCTCTCGCCTTACCAACGAGCCGACTGCTGATGGCTGTTGGTCACGACTACCACCAAAAAGCTCCAATGAAGATTAATATTTCACATTTTGGAGTGTGCATCTGTATTTTGGGTGTTCTTCTGTCGTGCGACCCGGCGGCTTATGTGCGACCTGTGGCCCACGCCTCCTATACTTGTTGTTCAGGGCGGGCGGCGTGAACTCTGACTCGATCCGGGTATTCAATCCCGCCGCTGAGATGCTCAGTTGACTCCTTAACCTTGATAGGAAGATGGCTTATTCAATAATTCGTGCATAAGGGTAAGGAACTTTGGATGAACTAATGCGAATGGGTGTAAGCCTCGCTGCTCGGAAACACCCAGTGCTGACCACACTGAGAGACACGAAAGCGCAGGTAACGCCAGTTGGCGAAGTGGCGTTAAGCATCCCTAGCGGTACGAAAAGAGAGGTCGTGATGATATCATCTACGTCCGTACCGCTCCTCGTGGAGTAGATCCCGCATCCAACCAAGTCTTTGACCAGGGAACGGGATAATTCCCACTACCGCAGGAAGGCCAGCCGGGCCGTGAGCAAGGATGCGGTGGGAACGGGCTTCCCAAAAAGCCAGCCCCCTCCTTCTCCTTTTGTTGGGCCGGGGTCGGCATAGAATGAAGGGGACGGCCCTAATGTTGTGTTGGCAAAGCCAACTTCTTGGGTTGCGGGCGGAGAAGAGCAGACGTGGGGACTCAGACCGGGGCGCAGCGTAACTAAGAGAGCCATTCCATTTAGGGCGAGACAGAATGGGCGGGCACGAGCGGTCTGGTGTCCGAGCCAATTGGTCAGACGACGACTACTTCACTTATTAGATTAGTATTCGCCGCCTATCCCGAAAAAAATGGGATGAAATAGAAAGAACGCGAAGCGCTATAGTATAGAAAGGTTTTTTTGGGGGGGATAAGCTTGTGAAGAAGCAAATCCCCCCAAAAAACCCGACCGGCAGCTGCTGGATCTCCCCATCTCTCCTAAACTTCCCCCGGTCTTCGGCCCGAGCTGTATGAGGCAGAAACTCGCCCCACGTACGGTTCGGAGGCCGAGCCCCACCCCAGCAGTAATGGTGCGGCTTAGGTCAACTAACACAAAGAAGATACAGTTCACTCAACGATTGCCTTTGGGTTCCGAACTCCATATGGGGAAGGAGCGTTGTTGTTTCCGAGGTCTCGATCATTTACATGGACCCACTTCTCATTCCATTTTTGGGAATTTGATGATCTATAAACCGTCCCTAACGAACGATCGCCTCATGTTTGAGCATGATGAATCACTTCGTGCCGACCTGTTGCCAATAAACTTTCCGGCCTCATATGAGAATGGAAAACTTGAGCATTTTCTGCATCGGTGGATGAAGAATCGCGAACATAATAATTTATGGTTGACCATGTTCCCAGAAAAAAGATACTTTAGAGAAAGAACGAGCACGACTGAAGTGGCTATACATACAAATCCATTTACGGATAGATATGCTTCGATTGGAACTGGAAGTTCCAGAACAGGCGGCTGGTATACCACCATAATTAAACTGCCTTTTATTTTTTTGATTCGGATAGGATTTATGTTGGCTTCGTCGGGAGGCTCGCGTAGTTTGTTACGTCAGCTCCAAAAGGATAAGTTGCGTTGGAATCGATAAAGTTCCGTGGAATTCATAATTGCATTAATCAAATAAAAGGAGTCTTCAACCCTCTCAATCAATAGAGGCTAGATCGGACTAAGGAGCGAGACGGTTGAGTACGGAAGCGAAAGCGGAGATATAGGCTAGCTAAATGCCCAGTGAGAAGACTTACATGAGTAAGGAGAAATCCGAATGACTAGTGGCCATAACTCATTAAGCAATCTTAACCTTTTTCGCTTAGCCTTTCCTCTTTCTACCGTTACGAGATGCAGTATCCTCATACGTCTTTGCACGGTTTTCGACCGGGATTCGGACTCGGACTCGGACTCGGAATCGGAAGGGAAGAGGTTTCCTCGTTGCATCTTTACACACAGCATTGGTTCTGTCCCTTACCTTACCCTTATCGCCCGTCGGGCGTCAAGGTTCGCATTAGATCCCCTTATCTATCGTCTTTTTGCCCCACCAAAAAAAAGACGAGAACCCAATGCCAATCGCTGATCTGTTAGTGGACAGAGCTTGTGGGCAATAAATTCTGTCATTCATGGACGGTAGGGTATAACCTTCTTTTCATCTCCAAAGAGGACGAGGCAAAAACAGCGTTCCGTTGTCCGGGTGCTGTTGGACGGACTATTATGCTGGCAGGTGATGCCCTTCGGTCTGAATCACGCTATAGTTACCTACCAGCGAGCAATGAACCTCATCTTCCATTACTTTATTGTCAACATCGTAGAGGTGGTGTATATTGACGATGTAGTTGTGAAGTCTTTCCCTGTTTCGGGTTATTTGTCTGATCTCAAGACAGTGTTTGAGCGCGAGAACACGGCTTGAAGATGAACCCGTAAAAATATGCATTTGGCGTAACAGCAGGAAACTTCCTAAAGTTCTTAGTGCACAACAGAGGGGTTGAAATTGACAAGAAGAAATCGGGCCAGAAGTTGAAGAATGCCTCTCACACAGATGGACAGCAAAGAAGAGAAGGCCTTCTAAGGCGGACTCTGGCTCTTTCATTTGTAAGAGTCCTCCTCAGGCACGAGATTGTCCGATGAAGGATAAACTTGCTGGTTGCCGAGGACAAGAGGGAAGAACCCCTAGGGTAGGGTGAATCCGTTACAGTTGCGGAATGCGATCAACCATTAGAAGCCTACGTCTGCTGGGCTTATGTATGTTGAGATAGTGCTGAATGAAATGGCCACTCTGCTCGTTCTTTCAATGGCCTTTTGACCTCTGATGGACCATGAGCTCTGGGCGCATATGATTTGTCTGTCAGGACAATCCTATATGTGACGGGTTACTTGCTACGTCTCGCTGACTCCTGCCGCCCTTATGGCTGATCATGCACTCCCCCAGCATGCCTTATTTTAATATAAAAAGCCTAACCTGCTGGGCCACAGGAAGAGAAGAGTAATATGAATCTCGGTGTCTAATCACCGAGTTCACATGGACCGGATCTGGGACTGTCCGCTTTCTGTTATCGCTTCACGCTACTGTAATGGGCATGATCCCATCCCAATTCCCGTACGCTGCTGTGGCTTCGCCCCTATACGTACTGGCTTCTTCCTTCCGTGGGGCTCTTAGAAAGCACAGACTGAGACAGGAAAGAGGCTGACTAGGACCGATCGGAATCGGAAGAACTGGCTTGCTACCGTTTGACTGACTTGCTTTCCTCCCTGATTGGCTTTCTTGCCTGGAATGCCTTCTTCCGAATCCGAGTGCGTGAATTCCCTTCAAGACAAGAAGAGGTAGAGCGCCCAGAGGAGTAAAGATCCGCTATTCTATTCCTATCTTTTGATGCTTAGCTGCTCTTCCGCAACTGGTTGTTTTGAAACCTATATATATGTCTTCCGGAGGGCTAGCTCATCCTTTAATCCGCATTAAATGGGTTAATGGGAAGCTCAAGAAGGATGGGTATTGCGCCCGAGTGAGCGAGTTAAAGGTAGTCATAACCCTTCCTTTAGAACCTGAAGTAAGTCCGGCGAAGCTAGCTAATAAGGAATAACCCCTCTTCTAAGTCCCTGCCTGTAAGCCTTCTTTCTTCCTTACTCTAACAAGTAAGCAAGTAAACTACCTTCTGTCTTCTTTTCTTAAAAATATCCCCAATAGTAAAGATCTCATGCAGGAGATAAAGAAGGAGTCTGTTGATTCTATGGTAGCTGAACGTCTTCACTTTAATTATTCCTAAAAGAAAGAGTTCCTTCCTTATTATTGATAGCACAGGAAAGAGAACTCCGCCTTCTCATTCGGGGGATTAGATTAGTTAGAGGACTTCCTTTAGCTCTAAGACTAGGGATCTAAGGAATTGGTGGGAAATCCAGAAAAGCTAAAATCCCACTGTTAGAACATTTAAGAAAGAGGAGAGCCGGTCTTGCACACTAACTCATGAGTCAACCTAGGAAAAGAACTTCCAGCCTTTAACTCCTAAGAAGTGGGAATAGCAGTCAATCGATGACTTAAATTACTTTCTTAGAAAGATTGCGTAATGCTAGATCTCTGATGGATTCCATCTCACTCTCTTTCGGTCCGAAGCCGATAGTAAGTTAAAGTCGCTGAGGTCAGTTCCGATAGAGCTACGCTCCGGGTATTCCTACAATTATTTCTTATAGGTTACTCTTTGAACTCTTAATTAAAGCACTGGAAGAGAATCGCTATCGTCTTTCTAAAGGACGGGGATTTACGTGTATTGCTTATGTCCGATTTGCTGACGCTAGCTTGACTTCACTCACTTCTTCAAGGTGAAAAAAAGAATAATAAAGGAGCGTAGCAGCCAGAGTCGCTAGAGAAAGAAATCCCCTCTTCCGCTTAAGGCACCGAAGTCCCACAGCTAATATCAATAGCAGTTGATTCAAGGGAAGTTCTTTCTAGAGCAGTAAGAGCCTATTCTGTCTTGCTTTCTGATTCAATTCCGCTGCTAGGGTGAGGGAACTCTGCCTATCTCAATCCTTGGAAGCCGGTTTGAGGTTCACCGATTGACCTAATTCCATAAGTAGTTCGAGCGGATACCACCCCGGATGCATAATATACCGTGCCAGTTGATCCAGATCCTGCTGCTTACCACCCAGTTGGCGTGTGAACACTTTTAAATTAGCATCTGGGCCAGGACCGATTGGTCGGGTGGAAGCAGCATATCCTTAAGAAGTTTCAGCAGCACGCACCTTCCACCCCGAGTGGACAGCTTAACCCCAGTTATCATGAGAAACCGCGTTCCCACCAATCATGGTAAGATGTGACGTTCTGGACCGGGCATGAGAGGATGCGGCGAAGGCATGTAGCGGCATACGTAGGGAATGGAAGCACCTTAGTCGGGGGATAAGAGTCCCGTCCCTTACCGCCTAACCGAAGATGAATGGGGGGTGCTACGAGCCTCGCTTTCCATGCTGCTTTCCTAGTTCGTTCGCTTCCATGCCATTTCCATCCGCATTAATAGTTTTAGTTTGATCTCGTTCCGCAAGAGGCGTGCAAACAGGTTTGGGCCATAAATGCGGTAGAGAAGGGTTGCGCCCGAACCTTCAGCATTTATGGCCCAAAGCCAATACAAAGGATTTCGGTTCCATCTTGCTCGAATCTTACTGTACCCCGGGAAGAACCCAGAGGAAAAGGGGATTTTGTGCTGTGAAGGTGGGATCGGTACACACGGATAAGGACTATCATGAGGCTCTATGTACTTCATTCCGTTTACCCCGCCTTCCGAATTCGACATTTCCCATTTTCCATGGAATAAGTAGGATTCAGGTGATAACGGGGATAACCATTGCTGTGGGTGAGGGAGAGATAAATAATTTTCGACTCTAGGTTTAGGTGATCCTTCCAAATCATAAGCCTTCTCCAGTGCCTGGGTGGGTGCGCGAAATCATCGATTCTAAGTGCTAATAATAGGTATTCCCCTACCCTTAAATCAGTAGGGCAAGTCAATTTAACCTTCCCCGCTGGAGGATTCTGTAACCACTAGATTCTTTCGAGGGCTTGGTTTGGAGATAGCTGCAGGTTCTGAAATGCAGACTCCTCACTACGCTACGGGGTCGGATGAAGGGATTCGAAAGACAGCATGGATCGGGGAGAGGGGAAATTTGACAGCTCTATTGATCGAGAAAGCTTGGGCGGACCCCCAACCATTAGCACATTATAAGATTAAGATGACTAATTGGCTGGAGTTGCAGAGGGAGAAAGGTGAATCCGCTCATGATGCGTGGAAAGTAGGGTAAGAGTCTGATTCAAAACCGTCTGCGATAGATCACGTCGAACTGAAGCACTTAAGAAATAAGCTGAGAACTTTTGGTTGATTTTATGCTCATTCTGACACGGTTCATATAAAGTCACAGCACAGACATAACCTGGTTGCTGCTACTAGTCAGGCTCATCAAATGCAAACATGGCTCTTGTTGGCCTTGGCC